AATTGAACTGTCTTTAAACTTGACCCTTGGCATTAATTTTGGCCCACTTGAGTGTTCTTTACGATCCACAGCTGATGGGTTTCCATTTAGTGGCCCAGAACCTTTGACAATCTCCAATTCTTGTTGTTTCCTTCCAGCTGAGAAAGGCCCACTCTTACTTGGCCCAGCTCCGCTCATATGGTTCCCTTCATTAGTGACCCCGGCCCATGTTAGTCTTTTCTTCCTTGTGTAACTCATGACCTTACATTTCTCCTATTCCCTTTTTTTTGACATGCTATTTCCACTACTTCCCATGGATTGAGCTACCATTTTCGTCCTTTTGTCTAATTGCTCCCTATTTTCTTGTGCGTTCCTGCCACTATCTTCTGCCCTACAAATTTGTGATCCAATTTTTGTTTCCCTTGATCTGTCACCAAATCCACCTTTTACAGACCCTTTAATTCAAAAATCTCTGACAGTTCTGAGTAGCCTGTACACCCCTTTTATGAACCCGTATTAACTCTGGGTTGAACGTACACAGTGACTCCTCCGCCGTGTCTGGTGCTCCTCCATTGAGTCCGTCCTTGACAATCGTTTCTTCTTTCTCTATAACAATCTCTTTTCCGGTGGTGTAGATTTCAAGGTCTTCACAACGTTCTCCCCCTACAATACTTATGCTGATAATTTGAATCTTCCCCTTTGCCTCTAACATGGCTCGTAGGGGGATGATGGTGCGGCTCTTGACATTGACCAGTATTAGAGCACAATCCAATCTTTCTCTTTTAAAAGTTGCCCTGTCAACACCAATGAAATCTCCTCAGCATTGTGCAACTGCCTTGAAAGTATTGAGATGCCATAGTTTGATTGGGATCTCTTCGAGTTTGATCCACAACCTGACTTTCTTGTCACTGCCAGCAATCTCAAGCGGAATTAAGGACTCAAACCATTGGTCGAAAAGATCCCAACAATTTTCCAAGATCACCACCATCTCCTCGTAATTCTCGAAGGTCACTAGTGTTGATAAGCCTTCCACCATTTTGACCTGGACTGAGAAACCTTCAGTACACATCCTTGCTTCAATCATCTCGCAGCTCAATCTTTCACGTAGTCTCCCTACAGCACTACGCCTGGTCCACTCCATGTCCTCATCAGGGATACTTGTGTTGATAACCCCACTTTTACTGCTGTGTGATAACAACTATTGTTGCCCTGTTTCCTTGTTCTCTAATTTCGTCCCCTGTTCTGTCTCCTATTTCACCCCTGGGAACTCTTTGCATATTTGTCTAGCTGCCATCATCTGCTTTGTCGTAGCTCCTTTAGACCCTTGATCGTTGACCCTGCCTTCTATCACCACATCACGATTTGACCTTCCATCCAATTTTTTCTGGTTTGCACCCTGAGCCAGTGAGCCTTTAACCATACTACCCTTTATTTCTTTGTTGCTATTTGGTCTCCACGGTTCCGCTCTCCTGACTCCAACCCTTCGACCGTCGATCCATTGATGGTTGCCCCATTTTAGAGCTCTCTCCATTTCGCTTTTGTCCCGGTACCGGATAAAAGCTAAGTTTGTGTCTCTATTTTTGTCATGTAGGATTCTTCTTGGAATATGGACGTCCACTACCCTCCCACACTCCTCAAACGCGCCTCTAATGGCATTCCATGAGAGTCGTTTGTTGAGGTTGTTGGCGAAGACTGAGTGTAGACTATCTGTCCAACGTTTGCCACTGTTATTATATCTGTGGTTGCCGTTGTTACCGCGTTCTCGCCGTCGAGTTTCTCCCATGTCAATTAGCAAATTGGTATATTGATTATCTTTCTAACCACAAGATTAATTAAAAATATTAATAATAAATATTTTATAAAAAATATATTTTGAATAATATATATTTTAATAGGTTACTTATTTAGCCGATTCGATTAGTATTTTTAAATGTCGATAATCGATTGATTAAATCAATTTAACAGAATTTTTTAATTAAAAATAAATTGATTAAATAGATTGAATTGAGTCTTTTAACTGAAATTACTTGATTGAATAGATTGAACTAACTTGATAGAGTCTGGTTGGTTAAATTAATTTATTCAGTTTTGATGTGCTGATATTTTCTTTTATACTAAACTTAAATTTAGGGTTTTAAACACCTTTTTAAGAGAAATTTGGTTAGAAATACAAGTATTTGTAATCGATATTATTGGGTTACTTTGAAATCAAAATAGAAAATTATAATTTTGTAAAATTTGAAATGAAATATTTTAGGTTGATTTAATTTGCAATTTCAATTCTTTTAAAACGTTTTTTAAATAAATTATCCAAATTTAATATGATGCAACTTTAATAGTTATAAAATAACTTAAATATTTTAAATAGAAAATTATTTAATTAAATACATATAAAATTAATACATTTATATATATATATATTATACTAGAGTATATATTTTCAGTTTATTCAAAAAAAATTATAAATGACTATTTCAGAGTATTTTTTACCCTTGTTATAATCGTAAACACTTGTTGTTAATCACAAAACACATAAAAAATATAAAAGGTATAAAAGGTGTTTCCACCAAATAAATAACCTTTAAGTCCCAATTTCTTCTTCACACAATTACTGTACTTTCACAATTGAGTTTACATCATAACAGTTAGTTTTTTTTTTTTTCAATTTTTTCTTTTTTTTTGAATCTTAACTTGAATAAATATTTATTAAATTATTTTATTAATTGATTAATTAATATTTATTTTTGATTTAAAATAAATATAATTATTTTTAGTTTATTTGTTAAAATAGTCTGTTTGTCTATCCATAACCAGAGTTGTATAATGTAAAAATTTCCAAGCCAGGGACTTCCATTTTGCACCCATTTCGCGCTTCTTCTCCTCTTCTCTTTCAGTGTTTTTTGGCCTTTGTTTTTGAGTGGAATGGATTTAACGGAAACAGGTTTTCTTAGAATCACCGGCGAGTCTACCGAAGCCCAACGAGAAGAAGAAGAAAGAAGCAAGTTATTTTTACAGCTAAAACCCTACTGTTTAGAGCTTCTAGAACTTTCTCAAAACCCTAAAAATCATTCCTCCGCCATTCCCGCATTGCTCCGATTGCTTCGCTCTTCTCCGCCCGGTTCTCTCCAGCCCTTCTTCGAGTAACAAATTTCCCATTTTTGTCCCTCTACATTTTATCAATTTCTGTTTTTTTTTTTCTAATTTTTAGACTCTGTTTGATTGTTATTTTTTTTTATTACGATTCTGGAATTTAAAGACCTGAAAGCAATTACTCTAGTGCAGTTGAATTTGATTTTGTGTTGTTAATTTTTTTTTTTGTAGCTATACTTTGTTTCCGTTGCTGCTTTTGCTGGATGCAGCAGTTAATTGCAGAAGCTCATCGAAGAAAGTTGAAAGTAATAATACTTATATAAGAGTGAGTGATAAAGTAGCAGAAGGAGTGGTGGAGTGTTTGGAAGAGCTCTGTAAGAAATGCCATCCGGGTTCTGTTGATCAGGTCCATTTCCCTTTTCAATTCTCATTAAACCTTCTCTCATTTATGTTGTTTTACTTTTCTAATTTTAAATAACATAGCTCAACTTGATTGTTGCTTCTGTATTTATTTTGTTCTTTTGCTTTTTTGTTTCGAAAGGAAGCAATAAGCATATGTCTTTGAACTTGTAGTCACTGAATAATAGTAGCAACTAAACCATGAGTTAAGAAAAAGTTATCGTTTTGTCAAAGAAAACATCTTAAATATATCCTTGTAATTACTTAAAAGAATCTTAAAGTGAGAAACAAAATGAGTGGGAAAACAAAAATGAGAAAAACCCTGTAAGGGAAGCTTCTCAAAGGTGGAAAAAATGGGCAAAAGAAGTTTAATAGGGTACTTTGGCAATTCATCAAACACCTTGAATGGTAAAGAAAAAAGGAAAAATAATGCAAGTGTAACATACATTCAAACAGATTTTTCCATATAAAAGTAAAATCATGCTTTTTGTTGTCTGTTAAAAGATATATGTTTCTTAAGCCATTTGCAAAAACCAAGTAGCAAAATAACAACCAAACCAATGTTTAGTAATATAATGTGGTATGAGATCTTTCCAAAAAAAAAAAAATTAACGTGGTATGAGATTTATCCTTAAGAATGATATAAAAAAAGATTAGCAGCACTTCTGCCACTGCCAGCTCAGAAATTTATTTGTCTATTATTTTTGTTTAGTTTTAACTCTTTAAGTGCTTAGTGAAAGCCGTAAATGTCTGGCATGAATGTGGTCTCCTGTGGTGAGGTCTATTTTAAAATTCAGTTTTTCCTTATTTCCCTGAGAAAATTGATACTAGCCTTTTGTTTTATGATTTGATTCTGTATTAGTATTTCCTATTAGCATATATATTAGACTGGTCATGTTATCATGTTAGTATTCCCTGAACATTCTTTTAAGCTGAATGAAGTGTGATGCCGTGATGTCACAGATGGTCATGATTCTGAAAAAATTGACTTATGCTGCTTTGCTTTCTCCATCTGAGGCTTCAGAAGAGTTCCGTGAAGGAGTGATCAAGTGTTTCAGAGCTCTGCTTCTGAGTTTACATCCCTGTTCTAATCAGTCCTGCTTGTGCAAACAAAGTCTTGATTTACCCATGCTCTTAGAAACTAGAGACTTGCAGACTCCAACTGGAACTTTGAAGCATGGCTTGGAACAAGGAGAATGCTTACTTGCATTTTTGCAGTCAGAAGCAGCTTCGCCTGCTGTAGGACACTGGCTATCGCTTCTGCTCAAAGTATGTTGATTCTCTTTTATTTATACTTATACTGGAGTAAATTTAACTTTTATGTTTGGGCTAACTCATTTTGTTTAATTGTTTCTATGAAATTGATGATTGGTCTTGTGCTAAGGCTGCAGACACCGAGGTTACACGAGGACATCGGGGCAGTGCAAATCTGCGTATTGAAGCTTTTTTGACCCTACGTGTTCTTGTTGCTAAGGTAATTGCAACATTCATTAGACCCTGAATGAGGGGCTTCTAAATAATTAATTATTTGTTTCTTTTTTCCTTTTATGTAAGTGCTCAATTGTGCCTTTCATTTGACCTAAGTGCCTACCATCAACAGCCCTAGATATGTTTCAGTTAAACTTTTATATGAAAGAATTGCATCTTGCTATTTCTTGTGATTTGAGTTTGTTTTTTATTTTGTTGCTTTAGCTATGTAAATTCCATTATCTTTGGGAAATACTCTTTGCATTTACATGAAGACAGTACGCTTACTAACATATATTCTTAATGATTCCATTTGAGAGAGGATTTTAATTCTTAGTAGAATTTACTGGTTTGATAATGAAATTTGATTGTGGCCTCACTTTCTACTCATGAAATACAAACAAATCAACCTTCATATGAACTGAATAATGTCTTTCCATGACATTTTATGCTCTTTGCTTCTGTCATTTTTGCAGTGTAAATTCCATGATCTTTTAGGACTACTCTCTCTTTCTCTATGCATACGCAATGTTCATATGTATCCGAGTATGCATACCAACATATATTCCTTATGTTTCTAGTGGTGAGAGGATTTTAGTTCTTTGTAGAAATCATTAGGTTGGAAAATGAATATTGAGGTTTGCACCATTTATCACTTGAGAAATGAGAATGAAGGCTGTGCTATTGGGAAAAAAATATGGCATTGCAAATGTGTGAGCTCATCTGATTTAAGTAGAGAAGTTCCTTCTTGCTTTTTATTGCAATAGTTCTTCATCATACATGAAAAATTGGATTAATTCTGTTGGCATCACCTTTTTTCCAGGTTGGTACTGCCGATGCATTGGCTTTCTTCTTACCTGGTGTTGTTAGCCAGTTTTCCAAAGTATTACATCTCTCAAAAACAATAATCAGTGGGGCTGCTGGAAGTGTAGAAGCTATTGACCAAGCAATTAGGGCCTTGGCGGAGTACCTTATGATAGTCCTCCAAGATGATGCCAATTTATCTGGCCTTGGTATGTACATAGATACTTCTGTTGGCCATAACTCAAGTAACTGCAAATCTACAGCTTCATTCTTGGAGGAGCTCCGTCAATTGCCATCGAAAGCGCAGAGCAAAACTTTGATGGAAAATATAAATGGAGAAGCAGCCAATATTGTTAGTCTGAAGACTGAATCTGGAGAAAAAGGTAGCCCTGATCTTGGCAAGGGAATGGGATCTTTGTATGTGGATCGTACAAAAGAGTGGATTGAGAAAACATCTGAGCATGTGACCAAACTATTACGTGCAATATTTCCTTATGTATGGATCTACATTTGATTCATTGTTTGTATAAAAAATTTTATATTCAAGATTTTGTTCTGCACCATTGTTTTGATGTACTGTTTTTACATGTACCAGATATGTGTTCATCAAGCAAAAAAGGTGAGACATGGGCTTCTTTCTGCCATTCAAGGACTGCTATTGAAGTGCAATTTCACGCTAGAAAAGAGCAAAGTGATGTTTTTGGTAGGTTCAATTCTATGAATTTCATGCATCTGGGCTGTGAAGACTCAGCTTGATTTAGTTAATTGGTATGTGATGCCTTGGTGTGCACAAGATATGGACTTTTT